ATGACTTTAGCAGGAGTAGCTCAGTGGAACGTTGAGGATAGAAGCCAGACTACAAAGGACTGAGGAGCCACTGAAAGCAAAGTAGAGCAGGTGCGGTTTGGCTACAACAGAAGGAAAGAGCGCAGGAAATAGAGGAGACAGGATCAGGGGAAAATATTAATATAGGAAAGACTTGAGTTCTCCTTCACTGACACAGAGCTTGAGCTTCTGTGCTAAACGAGGCAGATCCGGGAGGCACCGACGGGAAAGAGGGGCTGGTGGGGGGAGTCGACGCTGGGATGGGGCTCGCTCATGTGCTCACTCCCCTGTGCACTCACAGTGTTGCCCAGACGACAGATGCCTCTTCCGGGACAGGCGAGGATGCTGATGGCACAGACGACTAAGCAAAAAGCTTAGCGCTCACCTGTCAGCTTCGATTTTCTCAGCATCAGGAGGCCAGGCTTTTGCTGAGGCGGAAGAGGTGCTAGGCTGGGCATCGGACAGAGGTGAAAGTCTGAAAGTCTTTTAAGGGAAGAGGTTGCCGGACCACAGGCTCTGCTGAAGTGCTTCGAGAGCCACCGACTTGAGTCAATTAGTGGTGCCACCAACCGACGGGTATGTACTCAGTACTACGCAGCAGCCCCGGAAGCAAAGTCAGATGACCCGGGGACGAGTCAGAGCGGTAGGCCACAGCCTGTGCTAATGGAGAAGGGGTGAAGCCAGAATGAACCGGAGGAAACAGTGGTTAAGAAACTACGGTTTTCTTGAAGTCAAAGACTAAGTATTCTGAGAGGAAGAGATCAAATGAGAAGACATTAAAATCGGAGAATTGGATCCTGAAGTTTAATATTTCAGGAAGGTTTTTGGCAAGATTCCAAGGTGTGACCTTAAAATTCGTTTGCTAGTTGGAGTGACAATGACCACTGAGATGGAGGTCCAGAAATTGAGGTCATTCGGATCCATGAAACTGCCCAGGATGACGGCAGCAGTGAGGACAGAGGTGCCCGTGAACCACCGCAGTTCCCCAGTGGGTGCGGACGGCGGCAGTGAGCACAGCTGGTGCTGGGCGGCAGGGCCCCAGAGCGCAGGAGCGATACCGCGGGAACAGCAATCGGCAGTGCGGGCAACAGAGCCGACAATCCACCCGTTCGCCAGTAAAGAAGCGAGAAGATGAACTCTCCACTTGAAACCACCCCGAGGTCAATGCGGCTGAGTGGCACGAACTGACCAAGGCAAGTTTACCTGCTGGATTAGGAGAGGGCTGGTGACCGGATGGGATTCCACTTTAGACGGCAGCAGCGCGTTACAAGGATGAGAAGCAAAGCGAATTAAACCGGCCTCAATGTTCCAGCTGCACTCTGGAGTAAGATGTTTCTATGACAAAACAAACAAGTACTGGGCAGTGACTAAGGCTAGATATGCTCGAATTTTTGCTCTAGGTTCCAAAGAGTATGAGTGATAAGGGGTTTTCTGTCTCAACAAAGCTTAGCCCCAATTAGAGAGGATGGTCAAGGCAAGGCCAGAAAGACTAGAGCTGCCACTGCCCAGGTGGCCTGCTGGTCTCAGCAGAGCAGCGTGGTGTGCGGAGGGAAGGGGCCGTGTTTTGACCGGGAAGTGACACAGAGGCCCGGGGCCAGGAACCAATTCAGAGCAGGGAACGGCCTGGCAAAAAATCAAACAGGTAAGAAGCGAGAAATGTCAAGAAATTCCAGAATCGTTCTTTTTTTTTTGAGACAGAGTCTCACCGTGTTGCCCGGGCTAGAGTGAGTGCCGTGGCGTCATCCTAGCTCACAGCAACCTCAAACTCCTGGGCTCAAGCGATCCTTCTGCCTCAGTCTCCGAGTAGCTGGGACTACAGGCATGCGCCACCATGCCCGGCTAATTTTTTCTATGAGGCAGGAGGAGACCTCAGAGCCCAGGTGTTTGAGGTTGCGCCCCGGCTGGGTCACAGAGCAAGACCCTGTCTCCATACACGCACAAATAAAACACAAGTGGAAATATTTACCAGTTGTTTAAAAAGCTCAGAAAGCAAGCATGGGCCGGTGACACTGACTTGGGAATCATCTGAATAAAAGCGGTAACTGGGAGCGGACTGCCATCCATGGTGTGTAGAGAAGCATCCCTGCTGACATCATTTTAAGGAAAGAGGCTGATTAAAGAGCAGCAAGGGGCCGGGCGCGGTGGCTCACGCCTGTAATCCCAGCTCTCCGGGAGGCCGAGGCGGGCGGATTGTTTGAGCTCAGGAGTTAGAAACCAGCCTGAGCAAGAGTGAGATCCCGTCTCTACTAAAATTAGAAAGAAATGAATCGGACAACTAAAAATATATAGAAAAAATTAGCCAGGCATGGTGGCGCATGCCTGTAGTCCCAGCTATTCGGGAGGCTGAGGCAGGAGGATCGCTTGAGCCCAGGAGTTTGAGGTTGCTGTGAGCTAAGATGATGCCACGGCACTCACTCTAGCCCGGGCAAAAGAGTGAGACTCTGTCTCAAAAAAAAAAAATACTGACAAGCAGGGAATTTTATGTGCACTGAATGAACTGATCCAGAATCTAAAAATTAAGAGAAACAAATGAACTGACATTTCTTGGACACCTGTTAAAGACAAAAGAAGTAAAGCACAGGTAAAATCATGTTCATCTTACAGGCCCGTGGAGGCTGCCATGTTTTTGTTTAGTATTACTGATTGTGGGCAATCACAGATTTAATGTTTGTATTTTCAGTTATTCAAAGTATGACATGCAGTGATTTGTAATTTTACTGAGGCACAAATGTGAATCACGCAGGACAAGCTGTTTGCAGCAGCTTAGTGAAGGAGCCCAGCATCTACATGTTAACGCGGCTTTGTTGCGGTAATTATCAGGAAGTGAGATAAACATTTGCGGGAGGAAAATGTCCCCTCCACAACTCCCCTGCCCCAGCTAGAGAGCTAACTTCTAAAGCTATACTTGTACTTCTAAACTGGGGGGTTGCATAATTCTAATGACTCACCCTTCACGAATATCAGAGACCTAACATTTTTTTCATTTCTCTTTCTATAACCTTTGCCAAAATAATTTATAATAAAGGCAGAAATACCTTTGTAAGAATTAAACACGTAAGTTAAAATACTAATGGTGAAGAATCACAACTTTAAGGAGATAGGAAGTGTAGAGAAACATTTTCAAAGCAAGTTTTAGTACAAAATGTTACAATACAGAAGAATGGAGTAAATTGTAAATAAGTAATTTCCTCTAAGTGAAAATAATACTTTATATTAGAACACCAACATTTCTGTAAAGAATCTTATTTTATTAATTCCAAAATCGCAGATTTGTATGTTTTTGTTTGTGCGGCCAGTAATTTCTTCTGTTCTTCCCAGCCTTGGTCTAAACCTGTGGTCAGTCAGACCACATCACCCATGACTTTCAAATAAATACAAAATAAAATCCCACGGAATCAGGTTAATGACATATTTAAGTTTCAAAATGTCAGAGGATAACAGGAAGCTAGCCATATTTTCTCAGCATCTTCATGACTCTCCACCGAAGGTGGAATAGTTTAATGGATGATTGGGAAGAAAAAATAACTTTTAATGTATTCAGGCACCCATCATTTAAAATTACATTCAACTTTTAACTCACAAACATTTGAAGACTTTTACAAAGAAGACCAAAAGGCAAAAAATATTGTGCTTTCTTGTATAACGTCAACCAAATGAAATTCTTAATTGATAGTCTTTGTATAATTTGGCAAAATGAAAACTTATGAAATTGGTTAATTACCTTACAATATCCACTGAAATCTTAAACACACACTTGAGATCTCAAGACACACGCACAGCAACACTTAACGGAACTCTGAACAGATGAAAACACTCAAAATGTTACAATATTAACATCAGGGAAGAGTGACTTAAAAAGGTAGGTAGTAAGAACCACAGAGAACATGTACAGAAACTGGATTTTGTAAGTTTTTTTTTTATTTTTTATTTTTAAGATGCCTTTTGAGTTAAATCTCATACCCACTCAAACTGTAACTGGACAGTACATTTCACTTCTAGTTACTAGAAGACATTTCTTTAATTAAAAGAGACTGAGGCAAAAAGGGAAGAGGAGACAGTTGTTACTAGGTCCACCCCATTACCCCCTTCAAAAGGAAAACTGATGAATTTAAGTCGAACCACAGATTTTTAACCCAAAATAAAGAGACACAGTATAGTGAAGACAAAACACTATTTTTAGTAAAATGTTTTTGTCCTTAAAAAAAAAAATCAGTCAGTCCCCTTCTAGTAAAAGTTTACATACAGCTTACCCAACACCTGCTTAACAAGGACAGAGAGTGCGACAGGAGGGAAGAGGACACAGCACCGTAGTTTCGAACATTCACACACTGAAGACAGAACAGCACAGACTAGAGTAAGACCAAGTTTCCCAGTGGACAGGGACAAGTCCCAACACACCAAGTAAACAGAATTATCTGAATGAACAAAAGCAAAATGAGATCTGGTCAGGCTAGGATGGAAAGGGGATCGCTAACTCCTTGTACTACAAGGAAGGAACAGGATTTCTTTATTAAAAAGCAAAAAAGAAAAAGCAAGCCCCCAAATGGATTTTTTGATGCTGAAACTCTGTCATATGCTGCTGGTAACAGTAAATATATATATATTTATATATTCATATATGTATATTAAAAAAAGGAAAAATAATCTATTTATAGAACAGTCAGTAGTCAGAGACATTTAGAAAAAAGTAAAAACAAGTCTTTTTTTTTTTTCCTTTTTAAAAATGGATTTACTGAAACAACTTCATCACCCGGAGGTACTACGACCCCACATCCCTGATGAAGCCACGGTGCTATTTAATAGCGTTGCTGTGAGCCACATTCGGAAACTGCCAGTGTTGGAAACAGCAGACACGGGTCAGGGCTGCAAGGCAAAAAGCTATTATCTGCTGGTCTTGCTCGTGGCCATGCCTGAAGCCTGGCATCTGGAATACTTGTGAACGAAGGTTTCCCCGAAAAGCATGCATCACTGTGGCTCAGTAAGATATTCTGACCGGTTTGTTTTTTGTTTTTTGGCAGAAGCCTGAATACATGTACCTGTTCTTCTCTAAATTGTCAAAAAAAAAAAAAAGAAAAAAAGGCTCCTTGCCTTGAAATAAGCTCTTCTTCCCAGAACCCTGTCTAGTCAGATCTCTGAACCAGATGACGTTCTCCTCCGCATACAGATACGGTGATCTGCCCCAGACAGAGATATGTTCTCTTATTTGGAGTTTTTCTTTTCGGTACAAACAAGCATAAGTAGCTGAGATCTACAGACTGTGCCTACCATCCCTTGACTTCTAACAGAAACAACTTTGGCCTTGATCCTCCTAGTGTATCTGTAGGGCATTACATGCCAAGTGACAGAGAAAGGAAAGTGGTTCTCTGACTCCTCTCCAACTAAATCAACTAAGAAATCCAAGCAACTGGCACCTTCGGACAGTGCTGCCCTAGGTTGTAAGCCTCTGACTAATACCAACTGGACACGAGCCACATCCTCCGTGCCCGGTGAGCACACCAACGTATTAACGCAACCAGCCATCCAGAGCTCAACCAAGTATCAGACCTTACTGCGGTAAACCATATTCAAAGGAGACACGAGTTGAAACATTGGCTGCTGTACCAAAGAGGACACCCTCTGCACGGATCTGTTGGTGGAGAATGCAGTCCACAAGGTCCGCGCCAAGAGGAAGCCAACACTAAGAGGACTTTCTCTGAAGGCCATTCAGCTTTGGAAGCAACACTCTGAGTGGATCTAAACCATTCTACTTGATGGCTAAGGTCTTAATGTGGTCCAGTCCCCCATGTCCCAAATTAACCAAGCTGCTAACTGGTCTCTTTCAGATCCTCCACTGGTAGTTTGTAGCTCATCATGAAGGAAGGAGGTGGTGCTTGACCTGGGCTATCTGGCCCCTGCTTCTTTGCACAGTTTATACAGATGTAATCTTCGTTTTCGGCCATTTCTGGAGATACACCCACACACACCTGGTGAAACCATTCATCACAGCCACCATCACACTGTACCCAGTCTACCTGCAGGAGACAAGATGGGGGAAGGCTTAGGTTACGTAAACATCAAACCTAGAATAAAAACAAACCAAAGAGCTTTCTTGGCTTAAATGATAGCAAACAACTGGCAAGTCCAGAGATAGACAATGACTTCTTATGGGGTTATTTTTTAAAGAAAGAAGCTGAGAAGTTAATACCCCGAAATTATATTTTACCATAATGTGTCCACAAAACTAGGCCTCTTAGGTACTCCATTACCTGATGAATAGCTGGGGCTCCTTGTGAGGCAGAAACATGTTTGAGAAAAACTTGACAAAAAAGGAACTTCTAATAGAGCAGCCAAGTAGTTTAGCTAATATTAACAATTTCTAGGCTCTAAGACAATGCAATTATCAATGGAGAAAAGAAGAGCACAGCAACGCGAAGGCAATGCTGTGCATTAGCTGTATTTCAAAGAGACAAGCCAAAGTACTGAGAGCATTAAATACCTTTTTAGAAAAGCAGTCACATAGGCCACTTTTTAAACTAATACTTTTTATTCTTCTCTTCTTCCGTTACAAATACAACTCCCTACAAAAAGTTAGCAGATATCAGATGTCAAATCTTACAAATTAACCAATTACAACAGTCAAAGACACAGATCAACAGATCACTCCGGAGTTTAAAATCAAAGTCTGGAAAACTGACAGATCACTGGCAGGTGCCAAGCGAACTCCGACCCTTCAGAGAATACTGATTACAGGATGCTAGGAAGGGACTGCGGTTTGGTGGTTTTAAGCCTTGGACCTGGAGTCAAAAATAAAGTGACTTTTGGCTTTTAAATCTGGAGGCTGACTGTGGTAGTTTTTAGGGCTAATGTCATGGCGGATGGAAACCTTTGAGATGAAAAGAGCTACTCCCCCTCACCCCAATACAAAGGTTGATCGTTTCACTGGCAACATAGGAAGCCACTTAAAACCATGAGCTTCGCCAGATATCAAAGTAAGGAGTATGCGGGGATCAAAGAAGTAACTCAGTGTAGTTTACGAGAAAGAACAGAGAAAGAAGGTTTTGGCTAGGTCAATGAGTTTCATTCAGAGAAAGTGAGTAGTAGTTTCCAAAACTGGTTTCCACGCCCTATAAAAATGACCAAATCCATGACAGGCATCCCCTAGTCCTTATCCTGGTGCTGGGGGAGGGACAGACATGACGGTCACGTCAGTGGTTTTAGGCTGTAATAAAGGATGGGAAAATAATCTGTCAAAGTAATCTTCTTGCTTTCATTGTTCCCATTCTACAGTTCTAGATGCTAAGAGGCAACGCTGTTTAACACAAAGATTACTGAACTCAGAAGTTCAGTCTTCTGCTGTGTATAATTTCAGGCAAGTCATCTAACTTCACTGAGGCTCAATTTCCTCATCTGTAAAATAGAGATAACATCAATTACAAGATTACCGAGAGGATCCAATGAAATCATGTATGGAAAACACCTAGTTCACTGCCTGGGATACTGGAAGCACTTTTTAAACTCACAGTCTAATGGTGCTACTCACTACCCTCCTTTAGACAAAACATTCTGCACCCTGATGTAGCTGCCGGCAGCGCTGCTTCTCAGAGTGCACAGACCACTTGCATCAAAATCACCTGCCGTGTTTGTTAAACATGTAGCTGGGACCCATCCCAAGCTATGAACTCAGAATATCTGGGGGTACAAACCAGAAGATTACTTTTCTTTAGCATCATAAAGTATCAAGCAGGAAGATTACATTTTTAATCAACTCCCAAGTGACTCTTATATATTCTAAATTTGATCATCGGTGGCCCTCTGTGATATCACTTTCTGTGAATTCAGAGCAACTTAACAATTCCTTCCTAAACTTACTTATGTTTTTGTTCTGTAATTACATAATGTTTAGTTTCTGAACACTGTGCAGTAAAGAAAATAAATGATCAAAATGTTCCTGTTGTGGTAAAATAATCAGAGACAAGGGAAATAATGGCTTCGGTGCAAAAAGTAAAAGTAAAAGTATTGCAAGCCGGTGAACATTTACAAAGTACTAACTGTGTAGCAGGTACACTCAGGACAAGCGTCCTGGCTGTTTGGAGCTGATAAAGGGAGCTGGGAGGATAAACTGTGGTTCCCTGGGCTGCCACGGTGTAAGACGTTCTGCTATTTATGATGCTGTCGCTGAAACAGCAGATCCCTACCTCCAAATCCTTTCACTCCAGTCCAGCCCCATTCATGTTAATCCATAGGATATCAGGATTTGCTACCAGGAAAACTGTCCCATGTTTTTTCAATCTAATTTTTGCTATACTCACTGGCTTACAATTTCCAAAACTAAATCTGTCACACTCTTGCAAAAACACAATAGTTTCCTTCTTGTGATTTTGACTAGAGGTCTCTTCCTAAGCCTAGCTCCCTACCATTTCAAAAGAGTGTATAATTTTCCTTGAGATAGTCATTGGTACACAGATTCCATCCCAGCCTACAGGTTATGTAACAATTTATCCTGACAATATGGCAAGGAAAAAATAGTCTCTTACCAATATCTCTTACCAAAATCTTGTTTTTTTTTAAAGCCAGTCAAATTTAGCAGTGGGCAGTTGATCAATATCTTTTTGTCATGTTCATCTATTAACAATCAAACTAAAGTTCCACTTTCCCATAGGATCATAAAGCAAACTTTGGGGTGTCAACTGAATCCACAAAAGATTCTGACACAGGAGAACAGACTAGCCTAAAAACTCAAGAACACAGAATTTGGCTAATTGCGCATTAAGTTCAAATAGTCATTTCCTCTTTCATTATCTCTGTTTCTAGCAAAACACACAAAAATAATTATTAAAAAATTTCACAGCTCTAAGCTGTTCAAATAATCAACTGACACAATGAACTTATTTACTTATTTATTTATGTATTTTGAAACAGAGTCTCACTCTATCACCCCATCTAGAGTGCCGTGGCGTCAGCCTAGCTCACAGCAACCTCAAACTCCTGGGCTCAAGCAATCCTCCTGTCTTGGACTTCCAGACAGCTAAGATTACAGGTATGAGCCACCGTGCCCAGCCTTCTTTACTATTACTAATTTCAGTTTGAAAATTTGATAATTGATGGAAGAGAGAGTTTTTTGTAAAAACCTTCTACATTATTCTGGTATTATCTTTTCCTAAAACATCTTGAGGCTAGGTATATTTAAGTATTCATTCACCTAATTTTTAAAAGAATATTTCTCAATCCCTGCAATTTTGGGGAAAAGTGACAGTAATTATACTGGTTAGAGAAATATTAGTAATTACTGGTTAGAGAATTTACCTAAAGAGAAATGAACCCTAGACATTATTTTTTTGCTGCATGGTATTTCAAAGAATAGACTGTCTTAAAAAGTATTCTTTTTTCTGTTTGAGACAGGGTCTCACTATGCTGCCCAAGCTTGGAGTGCAGTGGCTATTCATAGGTGTGATCACAGTGCACTGCAGCCTTGAACTTCTGAGCTCAAGAGATCATCCTGCCTCAGCTTCTTGAGTAGCTGGGACTACAGGAGTGTGCCACTGTGCCCACCAAAAGCATTCTTTTCTTATCATCATTTTGTTCTAAAGATGTGTGTCGTGCATTAATTAGGTTTTCTTGGAGAAACATTTAAGATTGAGAAAGTTGTAGCATTCTTCAGAAAATCTTTTACAGAAATACACCTTTTACTTAGTAAAACTATATTAGGAATATATGTGGAGAATCAAAAAAAACGCAAAAGAGCAATGACAGGCAAAATATTTATAATCTGAAATAATTTCTGCTTGATATTAAACACATAAAATTATAACACTAAGTTTATTTTATGTAAACTAACAATTTTATTTATTCTGTTCATATTTTTAACTTGAAGAACTATTAGAATTCAAAATGTCAAATGGTATTATGAGAATAAATAAAACTAAGACTATAAATTTATCAATATTCCTGATGGGAACCATAATAGATACCTCTAAATCATTTAAAGAAGGGGGAATTTTCATAAAGTCTGCCCATTTTTCTTAGAAGTTATCATCAATATTATCTAAAGAATGGCCATCACAGAATTACTATACTTAAAATTGGGGGTTGAAAAATTTTAAATAATACCTTTTTCCTCTGCTGAGCTAATTTTCTCATAATTCTCAAATAATTCTGAATTATTTGTCACAAAGATGTGAAAAAAGTCCTATTTCATTTAGGAGACATAGGCCTGAGTGTCAGATACAGACCAAAAGTTTCAGGTCTTTGGAACACAATCTTAAAGCAATTTGCCACAGCTCTTAAAATACAGGCCCATGACTTTTTCAGGCCACTGTGGCTAATTGACAAGGTATTTAATTCTCTGAGCCACCCTTTACAGGGAAGGCACAAGACTATTTTGAAACTTGTTATGCCCACTGCACATGAAATGCACCATTTGCCAGGGGTTGTCACATAGCTTCTGTATGCTCTTGTTTCATTGTGTTCACTAACTATATGGTTTTTAAATATACTATTTCTTCTACTAAGCACTCTAAGCTAGGAGCCTGATTATTCAAAACAGTTTATAAAATCTGTAGAAAACATATTATGTTGGAAGTCCAAATCCTGGAATCAAAAACATACTACCATCCTATCAAACGTATGTCTCGACGACTACTGTTCCTTGACCTCGCTCACGCCTGACTACAAATAGCTGGAACTCACCTTGTCCTTGCAGGGCCTCTGGCAGTTCTGTGCTGCGCACACGGCATTCTCATCGTCAGACTCCTCTGCTCCTGACCAGTCATACTTTGAGGGGATGTCCAGCACTTTTTTCTCTCTCTTCTTCTCAGGATTCTCTTTCACAAGTTCAACTTTGGCTGCAGCAGCCTTCTCCTTCTTCTTCTTTCTCTCTTCTTCTTTTGCTAGTTTCTTGGCCAATTTGTTGAGCTCTTTTGATTTGTCTGCACTTAATTTTAATTTCTTCTTTTTAGGTTTGTCCATTTTCTTTAACTCCTTGGACTTCTGTTTTCCTTCTCCAAAAAGTTGTTCTACCTTCTCTAGTTTTCGTTTCCGTTTCTTCTCTGAGGAGTCCTTTCCTTTCATTTTTAGTGGTTTCTCATCCATGCCATCATCCTTGAAAGTTATAAAAATAGGAATGATTTTAAAGCAAGACATTTATAAGCAGTATTATTCTCTTATATGGCACCTAGAATAGACAAATTCATACAGACAGAAAATAAAATAGAGGTTACCAGAGGCTGGGGAGGAGGAAATGAAGACATTATTTAGTGGGTACAGAGTTTCTGTTTGGGCTGACTAGAAGTTCTGGAAAAGAATATGGTTGCATAACACCATGAATGTACTCAATGCAACTAAAGTGTCCACCTAAAAAGGGTTAAAATGGCAAATTTTATGTTATGTATATTATGTCATAATAAAAAAAGACCAAAATATGGTATTATTCTAAACATATTTAAAAGATATTTTAAGAAGACAAATATGATATTCAATGAACATAACGCAATAGTAAAAATTAATGACAAGCCTAAAATAAAATGTTTGACTTATTTTTAGCTCACTAGGGGGAAAAGGGCAAAAAAAGGTTCAGTATTAGCATATGTTAACACAGTCTATAGCATCTTTGTTACAGAGGAAAACATACATAGAAACCTAACTGTACTAAATGTATTGAATTATGTAATAACTTTTTTGGTCTTCATTTACCACTACTAAAATTCTTTATTAACTCAATTAATAAAACTCTTAGTAGTTAGGAAGTTATCAAAAATATCAGGAAAACATAAAATTATATCCATGATCTCATTACAAAGGGTATGCAGTAACTCTGGCAAGGGCTAGAAAATATTTCATGTGACAAAGCAAAAAAAATTGTGATTTTTCTTTTCGACTTTCTAATATAGTTGCTATTATGTGTCAATGTAATAAACATTTAAAATTCTAATGGCAAAAGTATATCTTGTAACAGAAAAGAATGGAGGGAGGGATTAGAGAAAGAAATACTGAAAAATATAACATAAACTTGGTAGTTTCTTAAGAAAAAACATTTGAGAATTCATTTTCTTGCAGATTTGAGACTTGAGAATCTTTGACAGGAACCTAAACATCAGCAGAATCCAAAAGAACACTGGATTATAAATGTCTTAACTCTATTACATCTTGAACAAGACACTTAACCTCTTTATACTCTGTGCCTCCTTTTATGTAATAAAGAGAACTGTATGAGATAACGGTTGTCAAGAAAATGCTTTGTAGACTGGAAAACACTATCTAAATGAGGCTACTTAAGATCTGACTTCCAAACCACAAAGAAACTATAGTATGCTAAATGTACCTGCACCAATTGCTGGTGATACTGGTACCATTCCACTACATGGAAACAACGAAGCTAATGAAAAGAATACTAGGGGTCAGATGCCAGAGTTAGAATCCAGGTCTTTTTAGTTTCACCAGATGTGTGACCTTAATTTTCTGATCCTTAATTTCTTCATATGCACAACACGGTAAATGTTTGCCTTAGCAGTCTCTCCCCTACCATACCCCCCTTCGGGATTGTGGGTAGGATCAAATAAGATCATGGATATAAAAACAGTATGAAGTACAAACTGCTATGCAAGGGTGATACATGAATGCAGACTCTCCCTCCCACCTAATCCACTTCTATTTAACCATCCCTGTGCTTCTTTTTCTCTTTCAAATTAAATATTACATAAAAGCTCAATAAAGAAAACCAAAAAGCAGAATTTCTTTGGCTTAAGTGAGAAAGTAGGACAGCCAGATTACTGCCCACTCAGTCATCTCCTTGCCAACATTTGTGGTACCTGTAAGGAACGTGGCATTCTACATACTCTAATAATTTTAAAACCACTGTTCAAGTAACCTTTAAAACCACACCTCCAAGATATGCAGGAATCTGTCTTCAGAGGGTGGGTGTGTGGCCTGCAAAATCCGCCATATGTGTTGAGTCTCGTCCAGAGACACTTCCAGGAGATCTCCAACCATCATGAGTTCTTCCAACTGGGCCTTGGCTCCAGGTGACAACTCCAACACGGGAGGTTCCAAACTACGAGGCACCAAAGGGCTCTTCCGAGGTTGTTTCCTTGGGGTGTTAGAACCTTTCCCAAAAAATATAATAAAACAAAACAAAAAAACAAAAGTTACAGAAAAAGTGTAAATATTTATAAGAATGGTCTGACCTCCCCCCAAACTGACTTCAGGTATCTGGCTCATTACATTAGTATGAAAATGTAAACAAAAGTAAAAACAAATACAAAACAAAAAGATCTAGGATCCCAAGACCCACTCTAAAAAATTGCTTTAGAGTTAAAAATTGGTTCTTTTCCTGATTGTTTATCCCTACTGATTCTTTATCTTGTGGGAAGGGGAGACCAGAGTCTCTTAACCCACATTCTCTCCATTTTAGACAATGCCAAAAGATTAAGCATTTAGCTGCCCTCTATAAATTAATGATTATCTTCCTAATAAACAGACAATAATATGCTGTTCCACAAAACGTTGAATTTTATTACAAAGAAATAAACAGCCTCCATCTTCAGAGCTGTGACCTATGGCAGTGAGATTTATTTTCACTGGGAAAAAGAAAAGTAAACATCACAGAGAAATCACGCTCCAAAGAAAGGAAGAACATTTTAACAAAGCTACCCCAAATCAGAATGAACATTCTTAAAAAGTTCCTTAACAACTGGCATAGAGGATAAAGGACTACCTATTAGGGATTTTATAGAACTGATACACCAGGTCTCTAAAATTCTTCTCATTAGGCCTCTATAATTCTAAGTAAATTTTTAGATTATCATCTGATGACAGAAAACGCTAATAGGGATTGACTTTTCCTAACCAAAATAGCATTTTTGGGTTCTATTAGCATTTCATGGCTAGTCATTCTGTTCAATTCAATAGACATTAATAGCCTTGATCAATATATTTTTTTCTATTTTTAGCTTATGTTCCCCACATTTTAAAAAAAGGGTAATACCTTGAGAACAACTCTTAGAAGCAGAAGAATAAGCATGTTCTGCACAGAATGAAGGTGCTGTCCACATGTGAGTTACTACCTCCTCCGATTTGATGGGAATCTCTTCATCGCAAAAAAGATTAGGTTCCAGACTACTAGAGGACTTCACACTGGCTGTGTCCTGAAGAAGAAACAAAGAAGGTTATTCCGAATTAAGAGTTACTTATTTAATATGACATTAAAATCAAATGTATGATACTAAGAAAGATATGAAATGTCCATTGGGAAGAAAAAGCATGATGAATATAGTTTCAAGCCAAAAGAGAAAGCTCAAAAATAATCGACAGAGATAATAAACCTACATAGAAATTACCATTAACTAACCTACCTTCTATAGTCTACAACCCATAAAAACTCTTATACCAACAAATTGAGGAAACTTGACCCTTTAAAAGAAAATAAAATGGACTTAAGAGGGGAAGAAAGGTTCAGATGCGACATCTTAAGGACACAAACCATTTAGTCCTCTCTAAAGGTTTTCAAACCTAAAATCTCAACTAACTGTTCTTACTTAATACAATAAAGAGCCTGACTGACAACATACAAATTATAGCAAGTCTTCACATAACATCATTAACAGGTTCCTAGAAACTGGCTTTAAGCAAAAGGACGTACAGCAGCAGCAGGTCCTCCACTAACATCATTTCCCTCAATTTCCTTTCGTTGTAATACTGATGAGAAAAAAAGATTGGTTTTGTTATGTCACATTTAGTTCAAAGTCGTCAGAATGTTAAGTAAGCTCTAATTAGGTCTCACATGATCATCCCATGAAATTACTTTCTGCAAACTCACCTATATAGCTGTAAAGGCCAGAGTACAATGAGGAAGATAGGAATCACACAAGGTATTTCAGCAGAGAGAATATAATATAGAGTACTTGTTCGATGTGTATTAAAGGACTTGAAAGGCCAAAGGGTAACACGAAGGCAACACCAAGATAATAATTTCAGGAAAGAGTTATCCCTAGGACTTGAGGTGACAAAGGAAAGAGGTAGATTTATTAGAACCTAAAAGCTTAAAAAACGGGCCCTGTAGAGTTGGGACCCAGATCTTTGTGAGGAAGCACTGGCCAGTAAGTTCTGCTATCTTTGATGGAACATCATGTGGTTGGTTTCAGGGATGTGAGGGGAAAAAACAACAACTAGAACTTGGAACCATTTGCCTCTGCCAGGATATTTAAAAAAAAAAAAAAAAGCATGTAGTTCGGATGATGATGGTGTCAGGAATAGGGAATAACAGGGGGAAGGTCAAGTCCATTCTCACTGTTCAGGCCTTTTAATTTTCTCTAATGCCCCCTACTGGCAGAAAAGCATTTGGCAAGGGACAAATGTGTAGGGCAGGGGTTGGCAAATTATGGCCTGCGGGCCAATCCCAACCAGCAGCCTGCTTTTTTTATGAACTGCGAGCTAAGGATAGTTTTTACATTTTTAAAGAGTTGTAAAAAAGAAAAAACACAGAAAGAAAAAGAATATGCAATAGAGAACATAAAATACTTACTATCTGGCCCTTTACAGAAAAAGTTTGGCAACCCCTGGTATGGATTCCCAGTTCAACATCACAAAGCAGAGTATAAAAGAGCGGGTTAGGAAGGTAAGAGACAATAGCTCAATGACTAACCCAACATACTCTTTCCAGGGTGCATGAGAGGAAGATCTACTGTCATCATGAGGCTATCTTTAATTAAAACAGGATACTTTCCAAGAATCTAGAAGTTTCAAAACAATGGTTAGCTATGGAAAGGACAACTTAGGAGAAAAAGATTTTATAAGAGGATTCTGGAAGAAAAGGACACTCACCGAGAATTGAGGACTAACAGTTCTCACAGCCTTCTTCCCTATTCAAGAAGTTAAGTCCTATACTGCGAAAGACGGAAGAGGTACAAATCCCCTACTTCAGTTCCCAGATGCTGCTTCTCACTGATTGGAACTGTGCTTTCTGACTATGACTCTACTCATTTCATTGTAATTCACGCAGGGAACTTTCTGTTAAGCTTTCAAATTGGAAAGGACAACAACCAGAAAACAGTGACGGAAGTAGAGAAAGGTAAAAAAAAATTTTTTAAGTGTGACTTAACACTAGGAAAGTGTGAAGAGGTATAATACTGACTTTAGTAAATTAAAGATGCACTGATAGCACTAGAGCAATCACCAAAAAGAAATAAAAATAGGTATAGCTAAGAAGCCAGTAAAAAACAAAACACTAAAAAAATTTCAAATAACCCAAAAGAAAGCAGGAAAGGAATAACAGAG